ATATGCCCACCAGGACTGTCCATGCTAATTGAGAAATGTCTGTAAATTAAGTCGGATTTCCTTCTCTAAATAATAGACTCATTTACGTCTTAAAATTAAATGAAATACACACTTTTGATTAATTAAGGAATTATTTTGATTTCTGACGGTTTTATAGAAAAATAATCAAGCTTATGACAAGTAGACATGAGAAGAAATTAAACGGGTGTATACTTGTATTCTGTCACATAATGTAAATATTGATATATATATGTGTGTGTGTGTATATTTCATAGTGTACTAATGCTAAAAATACGCGCGGATATTAGTTATTTTGACAATTTTGAAAATTATTCATACGTTGAATTATTAAACATAAAAGTATATCAAGCTTGACTTAAAACTTGTAAAATAAAAGTGAATTAACTATTAAGTAATTAATTTCATATGTACTTCAAAAATTAAAAGGACAATAAATATAACTATCAAGTGAGACCAACGTAGTTAATATAAACAACTGATATTAACATGTATATTATATATATATATAAACAAAATAGACATTTAGGTAAGGTGAGAATCCAAATGACACGTGTCTGTATCCGTGATTGTGACAAGACACGTTCTTCTTATATGTACATTTCACATACTCGTGCAATGTAGATTCGGCTGGGGTACATCATCGCCCTGTCCCACATCGGCAATACGATACATATAATTAAGGAATACTGCTAAAATTTTCTTCTGTAATTTGCAAGTCTTCCGCACAAATTCGAATTTTAATCCTAAGGAGGAAATAAAGCGATCACTGCTAGAGAAATTAAAGAGTAGGACAGGAGAAACATGTTTCAAACAATGACATCAAATGGCTGTTTTCGCTTTCAATGGTTAGCTCAATGTCCTGTGCCGTAGGCCCCTCTAATAAATCTAGACCTCCACAACGAAGTTTAAGTTTATATGACGAGACCCAACAGCCGCAGTTCTCCCCCCCAGCTTACCTGTACGATTTTAGTCACTCCTGAAACTTAGAATGATAAAATATCCTGTTCTGTACGTATACAAATGAAACCTCTCGCCAAACAGACAAACCTTACACTATAAAGTCGCAGCAATTTGCCAGCGCAGTGATAATTACCTCGATTTCTATTAAACACACATAAACTTTGCTATCAAATGGCTGATGTGTGCTGATTACTGATTGGCCAAACCCTGTTTTTATGAATATTCATAGCCACAGTCCTCACTGAGATTTACCAGCTATAAAGCAGAGATGTAACCCCCAATAGTATCATAAACAGAGGATTTCGATTAATTCAAGAAAGAGAAAATCTTTTGTGGTAAATATTTAATACATTTTTATCTCACGGCGAAGATTTCGTTAAATTCGTCTTGATTCACAAGGTAGCCGTATCTTTCCGACTGACTGGATTTTCTGAATTACTCGGCGCCGATTGGCTGAAGTCTATCACGTGGTTGCAGGCTATATCCCTTATTTTTATTAGCTCTCTGTGTGTGATATGCGAGGTCATAGGTTGTTGTGTATCGTACAGTGAGGCAGGCTCGCTCAGCCCGTATACGACACATTACTAGTGTTTATATTGTTTTGGAGAGAGCATGGTTTTGATAGCCTGGCCAGTGGCGTTAAGGACCAAACGTACATAGTAGTTATTTTACAGTAAAACTCAAAGATCGAATGGAATATGAGAATACATATGTAGCAAGGTACGTATAGACTACAGCGCGGAAGTATCTATACTTGGATATTTCCGTACCATCTCAAGTCCAAACATAGCTAAATTTAATTGATAATTTTATGTGTGTTTTTATATGCGTTTGATGTTTAGTTTTATTCTCATTTATATGGATCCTAATCAACTGGAACCGGTGACCCGGAATGTAGTGATACAGTTTATACCCGGGGGAGGGGGAGATAGAGTGATAACACAGATGCACTGAGACACTGTCTTAAACATTTCAATACACACGTTTATTTCTAATATACGAAACACTGAATGATTCCAATCGTATAGGACTGTGGTAGTGTTATATTTATTGGCAATCCTACTGTTAATTCATTTGCATATCACGGCTTATATTCTCTTAGATATCATTTTAAGGATAGATTTTTTCACTCCTTTTATCATTTTGATACATTGATCCATTACTGATCATGATTCAATATCTTTCATTTTAAATCTGTAATATTTTTGTATCAACATCTCCCAAACATTAATCCAAACGCTCTGTCATATTAAGTCCAAGTTTATTACAATTTATGATGATTTTATAAGTACTGTTAAAGTTTAGCGGTGTATATGTATCATAAAGCACCTTGTTAGATTTACGAGGGTCCTAATGACTTTCATCTCATTCACAGTGTCTCACCTAACAGGGTCTGTATATATATATGTATACATATATATGTGTAGGGTTGTAAGTGTGTAAGTACTTTTTAAATCGCATTCAAAATCATTTGTCCTCCGCTTCCTTTTTTAATGTGTCTGTGTATGAATAATATATTTGCCACGTTAATGTCTATGATGCATGTCCCGAAGACTACATTTTCAGTTTTGACGAATTACATTCGTATTGAAATTTGCAAATTGAGATTGCGTTGGGTCAGATAAAATCTTGGAATACTCATCCTCGGTGAAACGTTAGCTAGCTAATTACATGTGGCACCCGGCACTCTCGCCTAATGGGTTTATTATACTGGGTACATACCAGCTTCTTACAATGCAACAATACAGGATTAATAGGTAAATGTCCAAAGACCTCCGAAATTTCACAAAGCTTTCGTCTACCATATCTTCTATCAGGTTTTAGCCTCATTAACGCATCTGCGAAAAAAAACCCATAATGTTCGAGATCATGAATGAAAAAATCATTGACTACACACATTGTGAATGAGCAGGTGTTCAACTATGTAAAATTGGTTTCATTCTTACAGACTGTTCACCTATGCTGTCAATACGACAATTTATAACTCAACTTTTTAACACACTATAAAAAGTAGATAAACCCATTTATATGTACGTATTTTTGTTCATTAAACACAAACAAAATGGTGCTTAGTTTTTTTCCTTATAATTTAACAAATGAAAATTACACATATCAGATATTGTATGCAAAATAAAATGCGTTATCTAAAACAGAAAACATAAAACAGCATAGATGAATGATCTTTATGGGATTAAATTCATTGATGTGTCTTAAAACGTATGTAGTTAATGTTTTGTCAGAAATCTTGTAACTAAAGCTTTGAATTAAAATTGCATGCATTTTCCCACACCTGCATTCTTATTGCCATTTCGCTAATTAGAAATAGGCCTTAAACTATGAATAATAATAATTTAAGAAATGGCCCGAATATCCTACCATAATATCTATTCTTCTCTGCTAGTGAAAGCATGATTACAATAGAGTTAACTCTAAAATGTTCTGGTATATGCAATGAATTTTTAAAATGATTTCATTGTATGCTAGCTCAAAGAAAAACATATTCTTTATCTTTCAAATAAATGCTTTGCAATATTTTTTTATTTATATTTTTTACTGTACATACATACATTATCAGTTTACTCATTTTCTTTACGTGTCAGATGAGATGCATGGATTTTAAATTTCCATAATATTGTTGTTATGTAAATATTTATAAAAACCTAAGGTATCATATTGCAGTTTGTGTAGTTTGTCGTAATGTAGTCTCACAAAAGATTCATGTAAAATTAATGCAATCCTTCATATGTAGTCGTTCTTGCGTAAACATTCTCTTATACATTTTGACATACTCGATGAATGTTTCTCGAAGTATTTCAAAAACCAACAGGATTTCTTGACCAACGAATTTTTCCATCGTTTTTTTTTTTAATCAAACTACTGCAAATGAATTTTGGATGAGATGTTGTTTATACCGAGTTTTTCTCGTGGGGAAATTCTATGAAATTCATATTTAATCAGTTCTTGTTCAAAAGAAAAAGAAGAAATAAAACACCAGCTTGAAGAAGGTTTATTTCTTTACAAAACTCATTTGAAATGATGAATAATATTTCTAATTCGTTATTCTATTAAACAGGTGCCCGTTTATAACCACCATTAAAAAACTCAGAAAATACCCGATAGTTTAAAAAAGCGTCTAGTGCAGAACGAGTTTTCCACAACATTTAACACAGCACATATTAAATATTTATGAAACTCTTCTAACGAAACAGCTATCCACCGAACAGCTTTGCCAATCAATTTCTCTAGATTGATATGATGTTTAACCAAGGTTAAACTATATGCCATCAATAGCAAGAATGATATTTGTTAAAGTGCTAGCCAGAAAAGATGTAAAACATCAATGATGATATGTCAAAAAAAAATATGTATCTTACATCATGTAAATTGTTTTTCTGTTTCTGTATTTGATGAAAAATCCGTTTAAAAGATTGTTGACGTTTCTTTTGTGATTGCTGTGATACTTCGAATTAAATCTTTGTTATGTCTATGGTAACACATACAGTAATATTAATATGGTTAGGTCACTCGAAGACAGCTACTGTATATAAGTCATCTTTTCAGGATCAAGTTATTTCTGAGATAATTTCATAACCGTCTTATTCGGAAACTCCTGTATATCTAATATTACACGGATGTTGACAGTATTTATACTTATTATCTTAATACGGATGCGTGTTTATACTAAATATCTTAATACGGATGCGTGTTTATACTAAATATCTTAATATGGATGCGTGCATACGGTCATAGATATTGTAACCAAGGATATAGCTTGTTAAACGGACCAGGAAAAGACATTTTATAAACAGGAGTATACAAATGCATATTATACCTACATTGGTGGATTAGATGTTATATAAAAAACTAAGTTATTTCTAATAGGAAGCTGTCTGTACATAGCTGTTTGGAGTTCCGGAACTATCATATTTAGACGGAAACGATAATAGTAACTATTATAATTGTATTGTGAATATTTAGAAACATTATACTATCATATTGTTGTTGTCTATATTTTGCAGGTGTAATGTTGAGCAATGGAGACAGCCAATAATCTGTTAGCGCATTCAAGCCTGCCGTTCTATCCAAACGGATTGACAACAACAGTGTCCAGCATCCTCAGCTCAAGTCCCGGGGGTCAAGATTCGGCCATCGGGCGATCCGGACAGAACGGCTGGTCAAACTATACAAGCGACGCAGGGAGTATCACAGGTCATAATTCGTGTTCCAGTATGTCTTCCTATAGCAACCTCCAACTCGGAGCCTCCTTTTCCGCCATGAACTCCAAATCTCCCTACAACTCATTTACGAGTGCTGGGGCTGACTATATAAATTGTAGACAGATGCAGCTTAATCACATGAATCCTTTAAACATGCCAGCCATGAGGAATTATCCCTTGTATGGAGATATGTATCAAGCTGCCCATCCCCCGGGCTACACGAATGGAAGTTTTTATCCCGACATGCCCCCTGGTATTCCCCCTCTCCCGGGCAGGGACATCGACTGTAGGAGCGCCAACTCGGATTCCCCAAACCAAGGTTTGTATCTACATATTTATCTTTCGGTGTGTGGTTATTAAGGTGGGGTAGAGATGGATGGACAAACCATAGACATATTGTAGTGGTCATTCAGAGAAGAGAGGGATTTTGTCAAAATTAGGTTGGGTAATTATGCTGGATTTTCAAAAAAATAAAGACCTGCTATGAGTATGTATAATTCTTGTCCTGAAATCGAGTTTAATCCAAAAGTGACAGACTGTATTCATTTTTTTAAACAGCTCCTCAATTACGTCTTGAATATTAAAAAGATAAGTATAATAAAATCACAAGCCATGTGTAATGAACATAGATATATACCAGTAATAACCCGTAAGACATCACATACATATTTCCATTACAGTATAATGATGCATAACCATTATATTCAATTCACGCCTAGAGTTGTCCAAGTCTTTTAAGTATTCCCTGTAAGCATGAAAAATGGCATTCCAAAAAACACAATAATACCACCATGCAGCTATGGAATGCCAGATTACCCTACAACCAGTCTTTTTTTTTTATTTTTTTTGGTCAATTTCAGATTGAAAGGGAAATAACTCTGGTTTGATTTTACTGTTTCCTGTGAGTGATTCATTGATTTCACATATTCTGCTAACCGAAAACGTGTTATAAAAAAAAGGAAAAATAAAAAAATCTGCATCAACATACCAATAAATGAATAACGGATTTGAAGTTTAGGTATATAACCACATAACTTTCACAAACTCAGCTCTTCAATGAAATGAAATTAATTGAGATATCGGTTACCTATAAATATCAAATTTTAAAAATTGACATGGTACCTATATCATCCGTCAAGGTACTAATTATTTTTATGATTTAAGAGAATAAAATTAAACGAAGGACTTTAAGATTTATTATTAAGAAAAAATCCCAGATAGACAAATGAAATGAAATATAATTTTTGAAAATGATGTTTTCCTGTATGTTGTAAAATTTTAAAACACTATACTACTGATTTATCGTTCCAACGACTATCGAAACCGTTTGAAATTGAGGAAGAAGTAACCTGAAGCTTAATATCTGGTAATATTATGTTGGTCTATAGATATAGTTGAAATGAATATATCTTTGAACTGGCAATATGCATCTCAAGTTTCCTTGAATAACAGTATACAGACCAATGTTGATTTTCAACTATTAGGAGTTCGGTGTTTGCATAGTTGTTCACAGATGGTGCCCCCTAAACCCAGCATTTTACGACGTGCTTCCCTATCATTACCTTAAGGGAGAGATTCCGTCCCTTTCCCTCCCACATAACCCTGTACTTTCAATATTAAACGGCCCTCAAGCATAGTTCTGAAACCGTATACTTTTCCATAGTGTAAAATGGATGAAGTCAACTTGGCCTATAGCTTTGAATATGCTGTAAATGTACGCTTTATTTCACTATAATTACACAGCTTTGGGGATATTGTCTGTAACCTGATGCTATATAATGTCTCAGTGTGAACAAAAATGACAAACTACGACTTTTGAGAACATTTTGTACAGCCAACAAAAGTCTTCGGGGAACGAGATATATATACTATTCTTAAGTTACCATCTGGTTTCATAATACAACAATTTTGCATCATGTAAAAATTGTCGCGCGTATGTAGGACCTTTTACATGTACCTATGACCCTATAGACTTAATATTATTCTTGACATCAAGATTGAAATGCGAAATTTCTGGTTTTAATGAAATAAAATACGTTAATGACATCCAGAAAGGCAGGAAAGGCGTCAAAATAAGATATAGCATATATTCAAAAGGATATGAACATAAATAAAATAAGACACATTTTATTAAATATCTCAAATAAATTTCGTGGTATGAATTATAGGCTTTAATAATCAAGACCTAATTAGAAGGAATTGTCGAAAGCCTTGTCATTATGTAAGTAAAAAAAATTAAATGATCAAAGCATTTCATTAGTCTGAAACAATTTTAACACTAACATCTACGTAATAAAATACATAAAAGTAGGAAAAAATTCTTCTTTTGTTCGTGATTAAGAGAAATGAAATGTAAACAGATGAATTTTGTTTGTAACTTGTATTATCTTCTACGTGGTCAAAGTAAATACAATATCCAACACTTCGCCTGCAGCTATTAGAAGTGATAAATGACAACCAGGGAAAAGATTAATATGACTACAGGTATAGAGCTTGTTATATACAACCTGACAGATCCCACAGAACACCTAATTCTTATATAGAATTATTCTGCATACATATAAAGGAAGCCTACTGTGTTATTATATCTAAACCAGTTGATTAATTCATCTGTTTAACACATCTTAATCTGTTTACTTTTTTTTTTGTTATTTTTTTTTAATTATTTCCCAAATCTCCTGCTATTTCCAGGAAACTTACAAAACAAATCAAGTAGTGTTTATTTAAAGAAATGAGTTACAATATATGTAAATATATATATGAATATTAAAAAATATCTGTAAGATAAATTCAAGAAAATGTTCACTAACATAAATGTAATTTCGAACGTAAATTATCACATAACTTTTTCACATAAAACTTAGAAAATGCTGTCCAAATGTTAATATGCTATAACCAATATTTCCTATACACTCAACCAGTAGGTCAATGTTTTGTTTGTTGTCTACCAAAATTGTGAAAAAAAATATAAAAATGGTAAAAAATACTATACACGAGATATATAGAAGCAATTTACCTTATCAAATAGGTACAACATATTTTATCTATTGACAAGAACATATTCCTGTAAACTTGAAACTTCCAATCACTTTTTATAGTTTTATAGTATATATTAAATTGGCAATGCTTGTGCGAACACTTACATTATTCATATCCAAAACATTCTATAAATCAAATTGACAGGGCAAAATCTATTATCGGTAAATTCAAGGAATAGTTTTATATCTTTTTAACCAAGAAATATTTTTGCTAGGCTCTATTTTCCCCCCTGAACTTTGTAACAGTATTTTTACGTCTAGGTACAATGTACTCTTCCTGGGTCCACTAATAAGGAGGGAGTTATAAACCTGACACCATGTCAAACTTAAGATGGTATTTTATGGATTTCCAAACTCTTTACTATGTCAATGAAACATCCTAGTTATCTTTAAACAATAGCCGGTTGTAAATCTGACAATGTCTAATTGTGTTTTTCTCACCTGTCAGGTAAACTTGACGTGGGCTACATCGTACTTTGTCAATCCTTACTCATATATATAGCTATACTTCGATCTTCGTAGGTAAAAACAAATATCTGTCTGCTGTTCAACTGTATCTTTATGTTAACACCCACAAATAAATATCTTGTTTAACGTCTGAACTTTTTCAAGAATACTGAGACACTTCTTTGATTAATATATTAATATATATATATATTTCCAAATCTTTAAGGTAACTATTAACTTACCCTTACTGAGCAAATTTTCCTCCGGCATATGTATTATGTTATCTTTAAAAGTTTCAATTTGAAGCCTGATATTATTTGTTTGGGTGTCAGGTTTCATGTCTTTATTTGACAATAGAAATAGACAAAACTATGTATTATATGATACAGTAGAATAAAATCGCTTTAGTGTTTATTCTTAACCTATATATTTGGTTAGGGTGTACTTATAAATGATTATAAAAGAAACAAAATGACCAAATTTCTTATTTCTTGTGTAGATATATGATTATATTTTCATTTTTAGAAAATATATGGTATTTTAGCGCACATAGTGAAAATGGTACAGAATAATTCATTCACAACAATGGGGGATAGTATAACTATCTGCAAACACATTTCACATTGTTAAAACACTGCATAGAATTTTGAACATACTTATTCGAAACTCATTGAAAAATATACATCTTGTTTGTAGATATGATATTTATAAATAACACAATGATTAATGACATAACAATTTGCTGTGCCATGTGTGTAATAGACAAGTTTGGATCAAAGATGAATGGATATTTGACTTATCAATGCTCTCAGTAAATTGCATAAAATACAAATGATAAATGTGGTTAATGCTAGGTGGTTCGTAGATATAATATCAAGTTGGCCATATGTACATGGAAGTTTAAAGGAGAAAAATTGAAAAAAAGGATGATAGAGAAACTAGTTATAATTTGATTTGGCAAATACTATTGTACCGTGTGACAAAAAAGTCTTAACATGTCATAAACTCCACATAACACCATGCAATAATTCATACCGAATACCGATCTGTATTTTTGATAATTGAAGTTATTCGATATATCTTCTGTTCTCAAAGCTTATATTTTTGTCTCTGTGGATAGGAGAAGAAAGACCAGATTCAGGTTATACTCAAGAACAAATGAATATTCACAGATATGGATATCTTGGTATAACAGCAGGTGTCTGTTCATCGTATCTCTTCATAAACGCTATAATGACAATATGAGGTATTTTGTTGTTGTGCGTTGTCCAACTTTTTGATAGATCGATCAGGCCTATTGGACAAAGTCAATATGACCACAACAGAGGCAATTTGTAGGAGCTGTCAAATGAATTTGATGCATTACTTTCCATCAGACAAACATCTACTCGCCAGAAGAAAAATGAGAGCCCGTTATGTTAACCTTGTAACCATCCAAAGCCGTGTCAACAATTACATCATTGTTGTAAAGAGGTGATTTTTCACCTGTCACTTTGTACCGGATCTGCTGAGATTCGTCAATGACTATCAAGCAGTTGTTGAAAATGAAATAATGCGGGCAAACGTTCCTAATAAGATGATATTGAACAGGTAGTGAATTAAAACTCTCTTTTTGTGGTTACTGTAGTATTTAAGCTGAGGAGAATGCAACCCGTGGATCTCACATCAAGATAGACCCAGGCATTTCCTGGGATTGTTATTTATCACTGCCCCTCTCCCCTCACACTTCACTCCTAATTCTTAGTCTATAGTTAGTATATGTAGCTGAAAGCAGGATCAAGTGTTTATCTAATATCTCTATATTTCGTAGTTTGTAATCATGTTTGCATGGTAC